GAGCCAACGGTATCCACCCCTTTCGGCCTTCAACTGTATCCTGCTGCACTCTACTGCCAACAACACACTGAGTGGCATTTCCAAAGTCCGCGCGACTGGGGCCCTCTAGGCCCTGAAAAAGTTCAGCCACCGTCGGACGCGCGAGCCGAGGTTCTTCAACCTCATCCAGCAGGTCCTGCAGTGGCCTGGCCGCATCTAACAGGCGCCGCCGTTGGCCGTCTGTCGCCCCCCTTTATAAATTGCAAGGTCAAACGCCTCAAAGACAAACAGCGTTGGGTCCCAGGAAGGGAGCGCCTGTGCAGCTCCTGACTCCGCGCTGCTTCAAGCGAGCGGCGCTACCTGAACCTGGCAACCCTTGGCTCGGCCAAAAAGCTGCTTGTCATCTAGCCCATGCAGGCGGCCGAGGGCCGACTCCGCAGCGTCGAAACACTGCTCCATCGTTGCGTGGGGCAAGAGCGAAGCCCAATCAAAAAGGGGCGGCTGGTGGCTGGGGCCCCACTGCATGCGGGCCTTCTCCTCTTCATTCTTGGGCAGCGGGAAACTGCGAGGCACCACGCGCTGCCAAGCTTTGGCCTGTCCAGCCACCTGCTTGAGTTGGAGCGCAACTGCAGAATGCGGCCCAACTGGCATGTCAGGCTGCTCACTGCACTCTTTAACATGAGATTCTAGACAGCTGCTGACAACAAAAAGGTCGCAACACTTACTGTGGCACGTCGCTCCTGGGGGCCTGACCACTGTCGCCCCAAGGTGATCTGCCCATTGGGGTGCAAGCAGCTGCCCCGCATGAACGTTCCAGTCCCCGCCCGGAGCAAACGGGCCGCCCGCCGAGGCCACCACTTCACTGAGCTCCTCTAAAAACGTGAAATTGGCGCCTGAGAGCCCAAGCGTGGTGTGGCCGTACACTGACACAAAAAGGATCGGGAAGGAATGGTACACCATGACCTTGACCACGCAGCGCCTCACCGACCAGCAGCTCTGCCCGTGGCCGTTGCGGCCAAAATGTGCCTTACATGTGGGTGGAGGGCCGCTCCGACCTGGGGCATCGACCATCTGCGCGTCTGCAGCCCAGGAAGGAGGCTGGGTCTGATCGAAGGCTTCGACCACCCGCACGTCTGCGGCATCGATCCAAGACCCGCTGCCGTTCTTTAGGGTCTGCCCTCCAGCGGGCTCGCCAAGGACCACCAGCCCCGAATCTCCTGCGCGCCGCCGCCTCCACTGCTGTGAGGGGGCAAGGCCGCTCCACGCTGTGGCATCGACCGCCTGCCCGTCTGCAGCCCAGGGTGGAGACTGAGTCTGCTCAAAGGCATCGACCACTCGTTCGTCTGCGGCTCCGATCCAAGACCCGCTGCCTGCCTTTAGGGTCTGCCCTACAACGGGCTCCCCAGGGGCCGCGAGCCCCGAAAAACCAGCGCGCCACCGCCTCGCATGCGGCGTGGGGGCAAGGCCGCTCCAACTTGGGGCATCAACCACCTGCGCGTCTGCAGCCCAAGGTGGAGGCTGGATCCGATCGAGGGCATCGACCACCCGCACGTCTGCGGCATCGATCAAAGACCCGCTGCGTGCCTTGAGGGTCTTCCCTCCCACGGGCTCCCCAGGGGCCGCCAGCCCCGAAAGACGAAAGAAGAAGAAAAACAAAAAAAACAAAAAAAAAAAAAAGGAAAGAAAAAAAAGAAAAAAAAAGAGAGAAACACAAAAAAAAAAGGAAATAAAAAAAAGAAAAAAAAAGAGAAAAAAAAAAAAAAAGGAAAGACAAACAAGAAAAAAAAGAGAGAAAAACAAAAAAAAAAGGAAAGAAAAAACAGAAAAAAAAGAGAGAAAAAACAAAAAAAAAAAAGGAAAGGAAAACAAGAAAAAAAAAGACAAAAAAGAGAAAAAAAGGAAAGACAAAAAAGAAAAAAAAAAGAGAAAAAAGAGAAAAAAAGGAAAGACAAAAAAGAAAAAAAAAAAAGAGAAAAAAAAAAAAAAAAAAGGAAAGAAAAAAAAGAAAAAAAAAAAGAGGAAAAAAAAGGAAAGAACAAAAAAAAAAATAAGAAAAGGAAAACAAGAAAAAAAAAGACAAAAAAGAGAAAAAAAAAGGAAAGACAAAAAAAGAAAAAAAAAAGAGAAAAAAAAAAAAAAAAGGAAAAACAAAAAAAGAAAAAAAAAAAAGGAAAAAAAAAAAAAAAAAAAAAAAAAGGAAAGAAAAAAAAAAAAAAAAAAAAAAAAATAAAAAAAAAAAAAAAAAAAAAAAAAAAAAAAAAAAAAAAAAAAAAAAAAAAAAAAAAAAAAAAAAAAAAAAAAAAAAAAAAAAAAAAAAAAAAAAAAAAAAAAAAAAAAAAAAAAAAAAAAAACGCCACCGCCTCGCATGCGGTGAGGGGGCAAGGCCGCTCCAGCTTGGGGCTTCGACCACCTGCCCGTCTGCAGCCCAAGGTGGGGGCTGGATCCGATCGAAGGCATCGACCACCCGCACGCCCGCGGCCTCGATCCAGGACCCGCTGCCTGCCTTTAGGGTCCGCCCTTC